TTTCAAGAAACATGTAGCCTGTAGGTAAGTTTTTGTTTTATTAGTTCCTTCATAATTTCTGCTTTGTTATTGTCAGAATCGCAGTTGACCGACGAGTTGGTATATTGTCTGGTACAATATGGAGAGTGTGAATATTGTGGGCAAGTAAAAACTGATGATAGATGGTGCATGACATGCAATGCTAAGCATTTTCAAAAGCTTCGGTGGACAAGTGGCAACGACATGATTGACAAATTCATTCGAGACATTCAAAATAGTGCAACTAATCGTCATAAAGTTTTGGAGTGGGTTCCGTATGAGAATTTCTCGGAGATCAAATTTATTGCTAAAGGTGGTTACGGAAAGGTGTATAAAGCCAGATGGAACGGTGGATTTATACACTACTTTAATAATAAAACCCAACAATGGCGTAGAAATGGCGACATGGATGTGGTTCTTAAAAGTTTGTATGGTTCGAAGAATATAACCAATGAATTCTTAGAAGAGGTATTTGTTTTTTATTTTTACTTGTAAGATGATGTGAGCTTTAGTCATGTGTGGTTAATACGTTTTATCACTTATTAGATTAGTCTTCAAATGAGGTCACATTATGTACATGGCAATACGATTGAATGCCACGGAATAACTAAAGATCCTGAAACCCATGATTTTATGATGATTATGAACTTCATGGAAGATGGTAGTCTTCGCGATTACTTAAATGAAAACTTTTCAACCTTAAGATGGACGCAAAAATTAGAAATCTTATTTACAGCAGCTAAAGGTCTTTCCGATATCCATGAATCGAAACTGGTTCATAAAGATTTACATACAGGGAATATTGTTCTTTCGGGCCTTACTTCTTTTATCACGGACTTTGGATTCTGTAAACCGGCCGATTATAATCTACCAACAGAAACAAATGAAAACCAGATATTTGGTGTGTTGCCATATATTGCTCCGGAAATATTATGTGGGAAAAGGTACACTCAATCAACAGATATATATTCTTTTGGAATCATCATGAATGAAGTAGCGTCTGGGTGTCCACCGTTTTGTGAAATTCCTCATGACTCCAGTCTTGCGTTACAAGTTATTCAAGGCCTTCGTCCTGAGGTTAACAAAAATCTTACGCCGCCATTAATCGTAAACTTGATTAAAAGATGTTGGGATGAAAAACCCGAAAATCGCCCAAATGCATTAGAGTTGTATACTTGTTTACGGGATTGGCATCAACGTTCGGAATTAACAAAAGGTCATGAAATACGTGACCAAATTGAAAGAATTGAAAATTCACAATATTTCGAAAATTTATCAAAAATGTCATCGTTCAACAGCTTACATTCTCGTGGATCCTATAAAAGTAAGCTATTCGATATTTCAGGTGTCGTGAAACCCGTGAAGATGTTTCGTGCCGAATCAATTTCAGGTAAAGAACAATAACCTATTGATTACGTAGTAAACATTTTATTTTCTTTTTTGTTCACTCACCGAATGTTGCTTACTAAATTTACAGACTCTCGCCTCATTGATCTGGAGATTCCTGATATAATTGATTCAGAAATATGATTCTTATAAATTATTACTATTCCGTAAATTTTATCCATCTTAGCAATCTTTAAGCGTAAATTTCCGTAATTTATTTTGAATATGCAAATTTTGTAGAACTGTAGTTTTAAATTTATCGATACTTTTATTTTCAATTAACTTTATCTTTACGAGAACTTCAATTCCAGAAATTACGTTAACCTTGCACTTTTTGAAATTTTTATTGAAGCAAAAATAAAAAAACTATTATTTATTATAATTTTTCTTGATAAAAAATTTTTTAAAAAAACAATTCAAAAGATACAGTATGTGAATAATTTTCTCAATAACAAACAATATTTCAATGTTTACGATCGCCGATTGTGTAACATCGAATAGAAGCATGTGGATTATGGTGAAAATGGTATCTTTTTCTAGTACATTTTACATTTCTTTCTCTTTTATATCTATCAGAAAAATTACAAAAATCCTAAAAAATTTCTCAAATCCCAATTAAATCTTAATTGGGCAAGGACATCATAAGACTATATCACTTAATCTTTTTAATCTTTTTATAATAGTATATACAGGATTTTGAAATAAATAATTGAAAATTTTTTTTTATAATTTCAAACCATATACAGTGAATACAAAATAGAGGTTTTAAGAATCTTAATTATATTTGTTTAAAATTTTAATATATATATTTTTATAAAAAATGTTAAATTTTAAAAAATAACTTGATTTTGGATTTATCAAATTAAACAACAATAAATTTATATTATTAAAATCAATATTAATATTGGATAAAAAATTTTATAAAAAACAATTCATATCATGATTTAAATATGCTTAATAAGGTAGGTTTGTATATTAATTTTAAATAAATAATTTACATATAAATAAATTAAAATTCTATATAATTAATATCAAAAAATATATAATAGAAATGATTTAGAATAATTTGTATATTGAAAATAATTTTTTAATTTTGTGAGCTTAATTATACAATAAAATTATTTTTAAATAAAATTACCAATTCTTATTTCATTAAATATAATATAATTTATTAATTAATATAATGATTATAAAGTAAAAAATCATTATTTAAAAAAAAACTCTTTCCTAAACAAATCTACGTATGAATAAAACTATCAAAAAAGAAAATTAAAAATTTTTTTGTCAAAAAAAACCATAAAGGATCCTGCAGGGTCATCTTCATCCTCCAAGAATCAGCCTATCGAACCAATCTACACTTTGCTTGATGTCCTTATAACTGATGTCGACAAATGCCTGGCTATAATCTTTTGCAAAAACAACAACATTAATATTGTATACACTACCAGCCCCACTGTCAAAATTTGTCTTCCAAAATTTGGAAACCCTTCTAAAGCATGGTTAACACTAGTATGCCTTCAAGAAAATGGTCATAAAGTCCTCAAAGTAATATCAATATCCTTTGAAGTATATAAAAAAAGACTCAGAAATCATTACACTGAAGTCAAAATCAACATTCTGAATTCCATGTCCCTGGAAACAATAAACTTCTTTTTCAAATACTGATACACCTTTTGCTTATCTGACAATAACAAAGCAGAAATTATGAAGGAACTAATAAAACAAAAACTTACCTACAGGCTACATGTTTCTTGAAACAAAATTGATATCAACATTAATGAAGCAACTAAAACTTTTTCCTTGAAGTAAAAAACCGAAATGCCCATACTCCCTTCAAACACATCTGTTCTAACTGGGGAAATGATCACTGAAAATAGTATGCAGCCTGATTGTAAATCCAAAACAGCACATATAACTATCCCTGAGCACAGCAATAATTATTCTAGCCTGTATACAATAATAAAAGATTATGCAATCCCTTTTGAACACAACAGAAATTATTATGGCACATGTGAAACCAACACAGCTCAAATATTAACTGATGTTATTACAATACCTAATATATTCCTAAGCACAAATATACCAACACAAACCAGCTTCAATATGGAAATTGATGAACATTCTTTCCTCATCCAATCAGTTAAAACCTTGGAATCTCTTCCCAACTCATAGGCTGATAAAACCAATAAGTTTCTCGAACCAACACAAGCCACAATATTCACTGCAAATAATATTAGAGAAAGTACACCTTCTGACAAACAGAAAAAGATTCTAGAACTATGTAAGAAATTTAACAAATGCAACAGAACCCCTAAAGCCATTGTTGACCTGTTCCTGAAAATCAAAGCTGATCCAACTGGGTCTCCCAAAACAACTCTAAAAGGCATTTTCTTCAAAATTAAATATAAGGACCATGACTTCTTTAGAACATTCACCAAGGATGAGTTGATTAAAGAACAATACCAGAAAGAATACAAATCCATTGAGAAAAAATTTCATTCTAATTATTGCAAAGCCAACAATCTGGGATATATTACAAAATTAACTAAAAACAAAATCAAAAAACTAATTAACAAAGCTCTTTTTATCACTTATCTCAGATTGACAGATTTTACTCTTTTCAAATACTGGCAAGTAGCTCAATTGCTAGAATATAGTTTTAACTTCTTTGTGGACCCAACCTTGGAAAAAGTGGACTACCAGGAACTATACCAAACCTGCAAGGCAATGATTCAAAAAATCCTACCTGAACTTCTAGAGGATCCAAAGAATATTTCTATAACAATAGTCGTCAGATTACCTAAAGCCATTCCAATTACAAAAGCCAATAATACTAGTGAAATTGCAAGCAGTCTCAAAGCCTTTTACAACTTTGATCTCTTACCCATCTCTTATTTTGCAAAAAGACCTGACCTTCCAGCTGATCCAATGGACCTTAACAATGAAACAGACCATCTGTTTCCACTTATAGAGAGATACAAACTAGTGGATCTCAAATTCTGTATTGACAAACTAAGAGAATTTTACCACATTTCAAGCAAACTTCCTGACTCCTACTTCAACTTTCACCCACCAAAACTCTATCTTCTACCCATCTACAAGGACTTACTTACATATCTCATCAAACACTTCCCTATGGACAATAGTATTGAGGATTTTAAGAAAGAAGTATAACTCCTTAGAGATAACAACTATTATCAGGAAATTTTTTGAGTGGAGGAACTCTGCATATCTTCACCGTCATTAGAGATTTTTGAAGAATCTAAAAAATATACAGTATATAAATTTTGAAAATCTCTAAAAAATTATTTTCTCCAGAGATTATTGAAGGTTTTCGAAAGTTATTAAAATATTTCAAACATTTGCAAAAACTTTCGATAATCTCTAGAGAAAATGATTTTTCAAAGATTTTCGAAATTTATATATATATATTTTGTTTTTTCAAAGATCTTTAACAATGGTGGAAATATGTAAAAATATATAGAGTTCCTTTGCTTAAAAATTTTCTGATGATATTGTTAAACGCCTTCCACTCAACTATATCAAAATAAAATGTCCACTTTCTTCCTCTCATTGGTACAGTGAAAACAACTCACACCCTCTACCAGTTACTACTTAGGAAGAGACTGATAACTTGATCAAGAATCTTAAATAAAGTTCTTCACAAAGCTTCCTTTAGGATCCAAATGGATCAGTAACAACCTGATTCAATTAAACAAACCTAAACTTCCTAACAACTTTAATACTGTTGAAACAGAACTTGATATTTCTAAAGAGCAAATGAATAGAGACACATCAGACTTTAAACAAATAATAACAAAAATCAAAAACAAATATATAGGAGAAATCTCAAGAGAATGGATTATCCACTCCTTCCAAAACTATCAAATCTTGCTGAAGCTAATAAACATTTCACTAAAATTAATGCTAACCTTTCACTACCTCTCATAGACAACTTCCATTTTAATGACAATATCAAAGCCTTAAACAAAATTTTTCACTTTAATAAACTTTTATCTGAATTCATAATTGAACCTGAGTCATCCAAACCAGAGATGACTCTTCTCTCCAAACTTACTTAATGATAATTACAAACCTGTCCAACTCTTAACCTTCCTTAATCAGTCACATGACAATAAATATCGTCTCTAACAATATCCCAAACATACCTCATCAACCATTATCTCATCAATCCACTCCAAGAATACCACCAAGAAACTTAATTACTATATCTACTCTTAATATCCAAGGCCTTTCTCAAAGGGGCAAGCATAATAAACTTATCAAAGCAATCACAAATAACAGATATATTTTCTGCAGCTCGAAATCCACTTTCAAAAAAGCTTAACAACTGCACAATTATCTCAAGCGTATTATCAACCAGCACAAGTAATGGGACCTGTATTATCACCACAAAGCCCATTAACAATTATATCTTTAACACATTTACCCAAAATGAATTCTGGTGTACTATTCATCTCAAATTCAAACTAAAAGTCGATATTATAATTATGGTTCCGAAAATTGGAATTGAATAGAATCGAACAGAATCGCATGAGATTCGGAACACTATTAAAAATAATGATGAGGTATACCCCACCTATTAAATTTAATATAAACCTAAGAATCGAATACAGAATCGATGAGAATCGTTAGAATCCTTAATTATAATAATCTCCTGCTACCTATCACATGAAAGACTAGCAAGAAAACATGTAGTCACTTCCTTAAAAAACTTTATTAGAGAATATCAAAAAAAATATATTATCTTGACAGAAGATTTCAACTCCTACCTACTCAATTTCCCCTCCATTAATGCTCCTACCACACAACATAAATGAGCCATTTACAGATTTCTTAACAAATTTTTAGATGTAGCAAAGATCATTGATAAGAAAAACATATTCACCCATATTATCAATACAAGCACTTCCAGAATCGACTAAATTTGGATCACATATGATCAAGCTAGCAAAATCTTAAGCTACAAAGTTGCCAAGCAGGAAGCCATTCCTACTGATCATATGCAAGTAACTACTATTCTCGACTGGTTTGAATATAAACCCAACAGAATTTTATTCTTCACAAATATGTATTATTTTAACAAAGTCTTCAAGGAACAAATACAAGCAATGCAGGAGGAC